GTCACACCTGGTGGTGCTCAGGAGTTACTCTTGGCTCTGTACTCAGAAATTACCCCTGGCAGTGCTCAGGGGACCATATGGAATGCTGGGAACCGAACCCAGGTCGGCCGCATGCAAGGCAAACACCCTACCTGCTGTGCTATTGCTCCAGCCCCTCCCTCCAGGAGTAATTATTGCGTGTAGAACCAGAAGTAAGCCTTGAGCACTGCCGCATATGGCCCCCAAAACAAGCAAGAAAAACCACCTCCCCTTCCCTTCCCCGCTGAGTACAGAGTCAGGGAGAGAGGAAATTTGTCCATACTGACAGGGCCCATTCATATTTCACTGTTGGAACTGGTCCTTGTTTATGTATTTATTTTTGCTTTTTGAGTCACACCTGGCGATGCATAGGAGTTACTCCTGGCGGTGCTCAGGGGACCATATGGGATGCTGGGAATGCAAGGCAAACGCCCTCCCCACTGTGCTATCTCTTCGGCCCCTAGTCCTTGCTTATTTAGAAAAGGGCAATTGTGGATTAGTTTTTTTAAGTTCAGTGAAATTTATTTATTAATTTTGATTTGGGGCCACACTCGGCAGTGCTGAGGACTCACTCTTGCTCTGTGCACAGGATTCACTCCTGACGGTGCTGGGGGGACCCTGTGTGAAACTGGGGATCGAATCCAGGTCAGCTCTAGGTGAGGTAAGTACATTCCCTGCTCTCCTGTCTTTCTGGCTCCTGTTATCCTCGTTCTATTTCCCTGAACAACAAGAAAAGTTTTTTTTTTTTTAAAAACTCTTTTAAACTAACGAACGATGATGCACAAAGTTATTGATAGATGAGTTTTAGACACATAATGTCCTAGCACCAATCCCACCACCAATGTCAACTTCCCTCCACCAGTGTCCCCAAATCCCTTCCCTGCTCCCTCTAACCCATCCCTCTTGACGTTTTTAAGTGCTTTTAGTTTGGATCTCGTGTCTTCAGTGTCGCTGACTCTACAGTTTGGATATATAACTCTATCACTCCCCCATAGGACTGATGAAACCGAGGCCCTGACCCCTGCCCTCCTCTCCCCCTCGCCCTGTTACTTTCCTTCCTTTTCTTCTTCCCCCTTTGATTTCTTTCCTTCTCTCTCTCTCCCTCTTCTTTCTATACACAGGGGTGGAGTGTAATCTAGGCATCCTCCTCCCCTCTTTGCTCCATTGCATTTCCTCATCCAGTTACTGTGTATACCACAGACAAGGGAGATCATCCTGTGTTTGTCTCTCTTCTGGCTGACTTCACTCAACATGGTAACTTCCAAGGAAAAGTATGTTTTCATGCCCTCCTGTCACTTTGGTCTTGTGCTTTCCTCCCCCTCATCTCCCGCTGTCTGGACTGTTTCTCCAACTCGGGAGGATTCTCGTTTTGCTAAATCCCCTCCAAGACTCGCTGTCTCATCTCTACGTACTTCTGCATGGCTGATATCAAAGCCCTGTGCCAGGGCCCTGCTGTCAGCTCATCTGTTGACAGAGTCCAGCTGCGAGTTCTCTGTGCAGGACCTCGGCTGTTTCCGCCCTCATCCCATTACCTCTCCCTGCCTCCCTCCGGCCTCACTCATAATTAGCTTTATTATAGTAGTTAGCCAATTTCCTCTGCAATCTCAGCCACCATCTGGATTTTTTCCCCTTGAATTTACTTCTCTTCTTATTGGAGAACTTTCTCCAAGAGTATTTCCATGTTGTGTCTTTGTGTGGTCCATCTTCGGAGGCCTTCTGTGTCTGGGAATATTTTTATTATATTTTTACATTTGAATGACTGACTTTATGCAAGACTTCTTTCAATGCTTAAAAAACCATTGCAGTTTTTAAAACAAAAACGTTGTGTCTTTGTCTTCTTGCACACTGTGTTTCTTTTGAGAAGTCAGAAGTTAATTTGGTTCTGAGCCCTTTGTCTTATAGTTAGAATTTTTCCAATTACAAAGGTTTTTTTTTTCTTAATTCTTCTTCTTTTTCTTTTTTTAAAAAATCGAATCACTATGAGATACACAGTTACAAACCTGTTCACGATTGGATTTCAGTCGTACAATGTTCTAACACCTGTCCCTCCACCAGTATACATTTCCCACTACCAAATGTACCCAGTTTCCCTACCGCCATTACCCCACCCTTGATTATGAAGTTCTGAGGTGTTAGCATAACGAATCTGGATGCATTTCCCCTGCTAGTTACCAATTTAGGACTCTGTGAGCCCATTTAATCTTAAATATTCACGTTATTCTTCTTAGAAATGGTGGACCGAGGGATAGGACAGCATGGAAGGTGTGTGCTTTACATGCAACTGACACAAATTCCATTACTGGCATCACATATGGTCCCTTGAACCCCACCAGGAGTGATCCCTGAGCACAAACCAAAAGTAAGCCCTAAGTACTGCCCGGTGTGGCCCCAAAGCAAAACAAAACAAAACAAAATAAGGAAATAAGTCTTGATTTCCTCAACTATTTTTCTCTTCTCCCCATGGCCCCTTCCTCACCCCTTCTTTGAGGGAATCCTATTAATCTGATATGGCATGTTATTAGCTCTTTTTCAAAATATTCTATTCTGTCAACTAAAGACTTCATATTGGACAATATCACGACGAATCACGACCATCCTGTTACTCGTCGATTACCTTGAGCAGGCCCCAGTAACGTCTCCTTCATCCAAGCCCTGAGATTATATTCAAGGCTCTTTAGGAGAATGAGACCCATCATTGTTACTGGTATTTGGCATATTGGGTATGCCAAGGAGAGTTTGCCAGACTCTGCCGTGTGGGCAGGCTACATTCAGTAGCCCGCCAGTTTGTCAAAAGTAGGAATGAGATAATAAGATGTCATAATAAGGTGTCGCACGGCTGCAACTGCGGCTGCGCGGTTCCAGGAGCTGGTTTTTATAGTCTCTGAGTCTTGGCCGTTGATGGGATTACACGGCGCCAGGGGGCCAGTTGGTGGGTGTGACCCCCGCCGACTAGAATTTGGAGGATCTGGGTGGAGGATGCTCGGCCCCAATCCGAGTAGGCTTGGAGATCTCGGCCCCGGAACCCGCGTGGCTTTGTCCCTCTGCCAGTACCTTCATGTGTGTGGAGAGTGGTCTCAGCATGGTGGTAAAAACCAGCTCCCGGAAGAGAACAGTGCAGTCTCCTGCCCCCGCGCCTGGCTGTCCTTGCCGGGGCCCCTTGGAGGGGAGCGGGTTGAGCTTTCCTCCCCGCCCCGACCAGGGTTCCGGCAGCCGCAGACCTCCAGGACCAGCCACCACCATGCTGAGATCACTCTCCGCACACATGAAGGTACTGGCAGAGGAACAAAGCCACGCGGGTTCCGGGGCCGAGATCTCCAAGCCTACTCGGATTGGGGCCGAGCATCCTCCACCCAGATCCTCCAAATTCCAGTCGGCGGGGGTCACACCCACCAACTGGTCCCTGGCGCCGTGTAATCCCATGTAATTGGACAATATAATCCTCAATATATTTTTGCTCATTTACATTGCTGCCTGTAATTCCCAAACATATTTGTATTGTGGAATTGTTCAAGTATCTGGTGTAGAAAACTCATGATTTGAAATAACTAAGGTACAAGAACTATTGAAAGTAAGCCAAAGAAGGTTTTATCATGTTTCATAAGTATTGATGGTTCAAAGGTCATATGCTGTTATATCAATGTACATATTTGTGTCTGCATTGGATTATTAGAATATTTGACCTTGAAAATCTTGTGAGTTGAAATAATTGAGCACAGTGGGTAGGGTGTTTACCTTGCACGCGGCCGACCCGGGTTCGATTCCTCTGCCCCTCTAGGAGAGCCCAGCAAGCTACTGAGATTACCTCACCCGCACGGCAAATCCTGGCAAGCTACCCGTGATGTATTTGGTATGCCAAAAACAATAACAGCAAGTCTCACAATGGAGACGTCACTGCTGCCCGCTCAAGCAAATCGATGAACAATGGGGAGGATAGTGCTACAGTGTTACAACTTTTAAAATATTTTATCATTCAAATGTAGCTCTGTGGTAAACCTCTCTCACTTGTGTGAGACATGGGTTTGTTCTTCAGAACTGCAAAACAAACAAATATCAGATCAGAGCACCCAAGCTCTAGCTTTTATAATAATAAAATAGAGAAAACAGGGGTTGAAGCACAGCAGGTTGGGTGCTTGCCTTGAATGCAGCTGATTCCGGTTTGATCCCCAGAACTGCAGAAGGTCCCCTGAGCATAGGCAGGAGTGATCCGTGAGTGCAGAGTCAGGAGTAAGTCATGAGCATCATCAGGTGTGCCCGCCGTGAAACCCCCCTCAAAACCGACAAACAAAACATCCCACAAAAGAAACGCTGGGCCATGGATGTATCTGGTGTCAGAGCATGCACCTGTGTGCAGAAGAAAGGAAGCTCTTTAATTTTTCCTTCTGCCCTTTGAAGTATTTCCTCAAACCTACCTCCCAGCTCATGCATTGGTTCATTTGTTCTCAGCCGTTCCCGTCATTTGTTTTCCCAATCATGCTCAGGGCTTACTCCTGGTTCTGCACTTAGGAATCATTCCAGTCAGGACTCAGGGAACCGTATGGGCTGATTGAATCGGGTTGGCCGTGTGTTAGGCAAGATAGGGAATTTGATGATAAAATGCTGATAAGGAAAATAAATGGTTTTGGGGAGGGGTATGTTGGAAGGGGATCTGGTGATGAAAGCCTGACTTGGGTCTTTCTTTATGTTTTGTCTGGAATTCTTTGGCTGACAAATGTCCCTCACCTCCTGATTTCACCACTTTCCAGCTTTTCTGCCACATTCCAGCCCCCTGAGATCTCTCTCCTGCTCCCACGGCTCTTTGTTGAGGAGCCCATGGTAACAGCTATCCACCTCAAACTTTGATTATTTTGGCTGGCAGCCGCTATTTCCTGGGCTGGGGCGGGGTTGTTCCAGTCACTGTGTCCGGCCGTGATATATTGGCCCTCAGTGTGGCCAAAGACACCAGGAAACAAGGGTCACAGTCCACAGTGCTGTGTCCACTGTGACTTGACTTCTTTTTCACTGAACATGCTACTCTGGAAAGAGGCATCTCCGGGCTGTGGATTTGGAAGAGGAAGTGACGTGCCAGTGGTCGGGCTGCCCACGTGAGTGTTCACCAGTTTCTCAGTCTAACAGAACGTCTCTGCTGCCCTCTTTATAGTCAGGCTGCTTCTCCGACCTCTCTGCTTGGGAGCCTGTGTTTTCTTTTTCTTTTCTTTTTCTTTTTTTTCCTTTTTGGGTCTCACACCCAGTGATGTACAGGGGTTACTCCTGGCTCTGCACTCAGGAATTACTCCTGGCGGTGCTCGGGGGACCATATGGATGCTGGGAATCGAACCCTGGTCGGCCGTGTGCAAGGCAAATGCCCTACCTGCTGTGCTATCGCTCCAGCCCCAGAGCCTATCTTTTCTATGGAGGTCATTGGATCACTTATTTATTTAGACTTAGGAACCATGATTTCAGACCAAGAAGAGAGTTGAAAGGACTGCAGTGCCTTGTTTGGCAGTCACAAGGTCTTGAATTCCATCCCCAGCACCCCTGAAGTGGCCCCAACATCACTAAACTACCAAATCAACCAGAATGGGTCTGAGACCTCTGAGCAGTGCTCAGGAGGCCCTCACTTCAAATGTTTTTATTATGATTATAATAACAATAAATATTATTTTGTTTTTGGGCCACACCTGGTGGTGCTCAGAGCTTACTCCTCCTGGCTCTGGGCTCAGGAATCACTCCTGGCAGGGCTCAGGGGATCATATGAGGTGTCAGGGATCAATCCTGGGTTGGCTGTGTGTAAGGCCAAGTGCCCCACCGGCTGTACTATTGTTCTGATCCCTTCAAATGTTTTCAAACCTTCAGCTTAATATTGGGAAAGTGATAAAAGCAGGGATTCTTTCTTTGTTTTTGATTTTTCTAAGGTTACTTAAGGGCTGGAGCGATAGCACAGCAGTAGGACATTTGCCTTGCACATGGCCAGCCCGGCCGAGCCAGGTTCTATTCCTCCACACCTCTCTGAGAGCCTGGCAAGCTACCGAGAGTATCTCGCCAACACGGCAAAGTCTGGCAAGCTCCCCGTGACGTTTTCGATATGCCAAACACAGTAACAACAAGTCTCAAGATGGAGACATTACTGGGCCCGCTCGAGCAAATTGATGAACAGTGGGAGGACAATGCTACTTCAGGCACTCATAGGTGTACCCTTTCCTCCCTTTATATGTTTAATTTAATGTGAAATTGATTTATATGTAAAATTAATTTATATGTTTAATTTAAATGTACTTTTCCTCCCTTTATATGTTTTTTTTTAAGTTTACGTAAACTGTTACAGGGGTTAACTTTCATGACGTTGACAAAGTTACTGCACCCTACCACCAACAAAGTGCCCAAGACCCTCCACTCTTGTCCTCATGCCACCCCTACTCAACCTCTCCCTCCCCTCTCCTCACTCTGGGGTCAGCTAAGTTTTGCAATCAAAGGCCAAAGGTTTGGTATACATTTGTTCTTTTTTTAATTTTTTCTTTTTGGGTCACACCTGACGATGCACAGGGTCAGGGGAATGAGACCTGTTGTTACCGTTTTTGGCATATCGAATACGCCACGAGGAGTTTGCCAGGCTCTGCCCGTGTGGGTGGGATACTCTCAGTAGCTTGCCAGGCTTTCCTTATTTAATATATATATTTAAAATGTGTTGACTTACATTAATATACTTTATTTTATTTTATTTTTGCTTTTTGGGTCACACCCAGCGATGCACAGTGCTTACTAGTGGCTCATGCACTCAAGAATTACTCCTGGTGGTTCTCGGGGGACCATGTGGGATGCTGGGAAGTGAACCTGGGTTGGCTGTGTGCAAGGCAAATGCCCTACCCACTGTGCTATCACTCCAGCCTCTAATTTATTATTTTTACATTTACGTATTTATTGGTGTTTTGGGCCACACCTGGCAGTGCTCAGGGATTGCTCCTGGCTCTGTGCCCAGGAGTCCCTAGGGGGAATTCAGGGATTTCTCCTAACTCTTTGCCCGGAGGTACCTGGGATTGTTTGAGGTGCTGGGGATTGAACCAGGGTCTGCTGTGTGCAAGGTAAGTGCTGTACCCTCTGTACTATGTCTTTAGCCCCCAATCACTTAATCACTTAACTTCCCGTTAGTCGTCGATTTGCTCAAGAGGGAGCCAGTAACGTCTCCATTTGTCCCTGTCGCGTGCTAGTGTAGCCCAATGGCATCTGTTCGCTCCGGGAACATGAAGGGCCTCAAACCGATCGTTCATGATCTTGACGAAGAAGTCTGACCATCTGGTAGGTGGGCGGCCACGTGATCTTTTGACATCCCGTGGAATCCAGTTGGTAACAGCTCTAGTCCAGTGGTCGTCTTTAAATCTCATTACGTGACCAGCCCATCTGATTTTCGACACCTTGGCAAATGAGACAGTGTCCCTGATTCTTGATCGTCGATGGATGTCAGAACTCCGGATTCTTTCTCTCATTTGAGTGAAACGTGATATTCCAAGCATAGCTCTTTCTATTCTTCTTTGGGAGACCTGAATAGCGTTTCTCATCTTGTTTGCGTAGGGCCCAGGTCTCTGAGGCATATATTAATGCAGGAAGAACAGTGGAATCAAAGAGATGTGCCCGGAGCCAGAGGTTCTTTATCCTCTTAGCTATTTCTTCGACGTTCTTGAAGGCGTTCCAAGCCGCTCTCTTCCTCATGCGCAGCTCGGGTGCCAGGTCATTTGTCATGTTGACCTCTCGACCTAGGTACACATAGCTGTTGCATTCGGAGATGGTCGTTCCGTTGAGAGCGAATGGGGCGTCAGGAACGAGGCTGTTTCTCATAAACATTGTCTTCGTAAGATTCAGCTGTAGTCCTACCTTTCCACACTCACGGTCAAAGTCGGCCAGCATTTGTGCCACTTGGCTGATGTTTGGTGTTATTAAAACAATGTCATCAGCAAAGCGGAGGTGGTGTAGTTGCCGACCATCTATCTTCACTCCCATTCCTTCCCATTCCAGTCGTCGCATGATGTTCTCGAGGGTGGCACTGAAGAGTTTCGGTGAAATGGTATCACCCTGCTGCACCCCTGTCTTGACATCAACGTTCACTTCTTTGTAGAATGGTGAGATCCTGGTAGTGAATCCGCAATACAGCTCACGGAGGATCCTGATGTATTGGGCTTGAATGCCCTGATTGGCTAGGGCTTCCATGACCGCTTCCGTCTCAACAGAATCAAAGGCCTTCTTTAAATCAATGAACTTTAAACAGAGCGGCATCTTGAACTCCCGAGAAACCTCAATGAGCTTGGTTATCGTGTGGATATAGTCGATGGTGCTGACTCCTTTGCGGAACCCTGCTTGCTCGCATGGTTGTCCTTCATCTAGTGTTCTGCCAATCCTATTTAGGATGACTTGAGTGAACAACTTATAGATGACAGACAATAGGCAGATCAGGCGATAGTTGCCAATGTCATGGATGTCTCCCTTGAAAGTAGTACAGTCCTGCTGGTTTTCCATTGGGACGGAACCTTGCATTCAGACAGGTAGCGAGTGAAGAGCCGAGCCAGTGTATTGATGAGTACTGACGGCAGGTTCTTCAGGTGTTCAGGTCTGACCTTGTCTGGGCCGGGTGCTGTTTGTTTCTTTACTGACGAAATGGCGTGTCGGATTTCGGAAGGGAGAACGTTGGGAACGACATATCCATCCTGTGGAATTTGGTATGTCGGCAAGTGGACATGGCTATCGAAGAGATTTGAGTAGAAGTCATGGATAATCTTCTCCATTGCCGTTCTGGAGGATGTGATGGATCCATCAGGACGTCGGAGGGCAGTCATCTTGGTCTTGTAGTTGGCGAAGGACAGGCGGGCGTTACGAATACTTTTCCCGGCTTCTGCTGCATCTACCAGTACTTCTGCTCTTCTCTCTTTGAGGTCTTCCTTGATCACATCTCTGCACTGCTTTGTGAGCTCGGACTTAGCTTGCGGTTGCCTGAGGCATGCGCCAAACCACGCTGGTGAATTAGCTCAAGAGTTTTCGAAGATAGGCGATGTTTTGTGGCTATCTCTCTCGGCGTTCCTCACACATTCGTGGAGGTGCTGAACCAGTCGATCGTATTCCTCGTCAATGTTGTCAACAATGGCATCTTCCCATGTTGCCGCAATAGTACCAAAGAGTTCCCAGTTGGTGGTCATTCTGGGAGTTCTCTTTTTGAACTTTGCAGCCCTTTCTCCCCGCTCTGTGAAGTAGAATTTTGCACGAAGGAGACGGTGGTCCGATCCCATTCGAAATTTTGGGACAACAGCGACATCAGTCAGGCAAAACCGTCGATTGAATATGATGTGGTCTATTTCGTTGTGGAATCGTCCACCGGGAGACTCCCATGTCCATCGTTTAGATTCTGCCTTCTGGAACTGTGAGTTACCATGAATGGTCTTGGTCGACATGATGAACTCAGACAGTCTCTCACGCTGTTCGTTCCATTCTAGGCCATGGGTCCCAATGTGAAGTTCTTCAGCTGATCTTCTCGGTCCTATCTTGGCATTAAAATCACCCACAATGATCTTATAGAAGGTGTGGTCTTCTTTATAGAACTTCTCTAGCTCCATGTAGAACTTCTCGATTTCTCTTTCATCATAGTGAGATGTTGGTGCGTAGACAACGAAGATAGAAACTGCAGGCAGTGAGCCACATCTATTCAAATGTAAACGTCCGATTCAGGTTGTTAGGCATTCGAATGAATCAATGCTCTTGGCCAAGTTTGTGTTGACAAGGACACCGACGCCTCCAACACCTCTTTTATCGCATGTTCTGAGGAACAATTCTTCTCCAGTGTCGAAAACGGCATGGTGAGATTTGTGCCTTCTTGTCTCGGTCAGACCAATGATGTTGTACTTGATCATTCGCACTTGTACCATCAGGTCCTCGATGGATGCATCTGATGCTAGCGTACGTGCATTGAAAGTACAGATGATCATTTTTGTCTTCCTTCGTTGTGGCAGCCTAGGTCGGCCTTGAGATTTTGTGGGCCTCTCCTTTCTCATCCTTCTCAGTGCTGCCATGTCGGTGAAGCCTTCAGGGTCAGGTGAATGAGACCAGTTGTAGTTACTGGTTTTGGCAT